ATGGAAGCTCGGGATCTAGGCTGCAAAGGAAAGACAAATATTGAATATATGGCGTTGAATTGTCGAAAACATACCGCAGTTTTGACAGAATTTGGAGCAGTGGGTGATGGAAAGACCTCGAACACGAAAGCGTTTAAAGAAGCCATAACTAAGCTTGCCCCCAAGGCGGCGGACGGTGGAGTGCAACTCATTGTTCCACCAGGCAAATGGCTAACCGGAAGTTTCAACCTCAGCAGCCATTTTACTTTGTTCATCCAAAAAGGTGCAACTATTCTTGCTTCTCAGGTATGAATGATTTACATCTTTGTATTATACAAAAGTGAAATTAGATAAATATATATTTTTTTTTGACAATGAAATTAGATAAATATTTTGTGTAAGGAATTAGTCATTCATTAACATTGTTTTTTATATTTTGTGGTTTTTCAAAAATAGGATGAATCTGAATATCCAGTGGTTGCACCTTTGCCATCATACGGACAAGGAAGAGATGCAGCAGGACCAACATTTGCTAGTCTAATCTCTGGCACAAACCTAACTGATGTTGTTATCACCGGTAAGGTTAACCAAAATAATAATACATTGATGATATATCAAACTATTTAATGAATTAGTAACAATTTGGTGCTTTAACGACGAAGAATCAATGCTATAAGATCTAGAAGAATGTATTTTAGTTAAAAAGATTATAAATTTATAATTGATGGAATTTATTTGGATAGGTAACAACGGAACGATCAACGGACAAGGAAAATACTGGTGGGTGAAGTATCGAAGTGGTGGATTTAAGAATATCACGAGACCTTACACAATCGAAATCATGTTCTCTCAAAATGTTCAGATCTCGAACATCACGATCATCGATTCGCCTGCATGGAACATTCATCCCGTATATTGCAACAACGTCATCGTCAAAGGCGTTACCATTCTTGCTCCTATCGATTCTCCTAATACCGATGGAATCAACCCTGGTAAGTCCATATCCCACGCCACATTATATCAAATATTTCTGATTGGCGTTTTTGTTTTCATGTTATAATTAATATCCTAATGATTATACTTATATATTCACATAGCATTGTCCTTTTGTTTTGACACACTTTTTTGCTTCTTTATTAGATTCGTGCACCAACACATTGATAGAAGACTGTTACGTAGTCTCTGGAGACGATTGCATAGCCGTGAAGAGCGGTTGGGATCAGTTTGGTATCAAAGTCGGCATGCCAACTAAACAACTGTCCATCCGACGGCTCACATGCATCTCTCCCGACAGCGCAGGAATAGCACTTGGAAGCGAAATGTCCGGTGGAATCAAAGACGTTAGAATCGAAGACATTACGTTACTCCAGACACAATCCGCTATCCGAATCAAAACCGCAGTTGGTCGTGGTGGTTACGTTAAGGATATATTCGCCCGGAGGTTCACAATGAAAACCATGAAATATGTTTTTTGGATGAGCGGTGCTTATAACCAACACCCCGCTTCCGGTTTTGATCCCAAGGCTATGCCCGAGATTACGAATATTAACTACCGTGACATGACCGCGGATAATGTCACACAACCCGCAAGGCTCGATGGGTTCAAGAACGATCCATTCACAAAGATATGTATGTCGAATATAAAGATTGATTTGGCTGCTGAGCCAAAGAAGCTGTTGTGGAATTGTACAAACATCTCCGGAGTTTCGAGCAAGGTGACACCCAAACCATGTAGTTTGTTGCCGGAGAAAGGAGCACCGGTGGACTGTGCTTTTCCGGTTGATAAGATTCCTATTGAATCTGTTGTCCTGAACAAATGCTCTGCTTAGAGATTGTGAACGGAGATAATACTAATTTCCTCATAAAATATATATACATTGTCTTTTTACAATGTATATTAATAATTCCTGTTTGACAAAAAAAAATATTAATAATTCCCTTAGAAGAAAATGTCCCAGCTGTTATTGTATAAAGCTGATGGGTACATGCAATGGTTCTACTATACGCATACGAAATTATACAATTAATTTCGTGGAATTCAATTAAATTCCGTAATTAATGGATATGAGGATTATAAGCATATGTATCTAAACAGTGATTATATAAGCTTCCTAGTTTGATATCGAATTCTTATGTGAGAGATTAAAAGGTGATCTAAGCATGACTAGACCCTAAACATTAATGGATAATAAAAGAATGTGTATCTTTATGTAGATAGTACGGAAATTCTATTTCAGATATCAAATTTTACGTAGAGTTTAAAGGGAAAATTGGAAATAAAGGATATCTACTTAAAACTTTGTTTATATACACCTTTTTTGTGAGATTGTCAGTTTGGACGATTTTACCCCTACACCCTAATTTACATGTTTTTTAAAAAAATAATCATAAGAACAGATAGATATACAAGAGTATAGGTGATTTGAAGTGAAATTTTTAAAATTTGGTTTTAAAAAAGCTGTTTTTTTTATAGATAAAGTTTCATCTAATTTTGGTAGAACACGTTTTCTAGAGTTCTGCGAAACTCAGAGTGTGTATTCTGCATTTTTGCACATGTTCTACATATTTCAGACTAGATTTCTGTTTTGAAAATTTTAGAAATCCGAAAATCATATATCTAAAATATTTAGAACATGTATTCTACAATTTGCTCTATGTTCTAAATTTTTCTGAATAGCCGTTCTAATAATTTCTACATCTTCTGCAATCGTTAGAAATTGTAATCTTCGTTTAGAATGTAAATTCTACGGTATTGTAGATTTCGTTTTCTGTAATTTTTAGAATGATCTAAATATAGAAAGTAAATCTTCAGAAAATGAAACAAAATATTTTATTAGATTACAATTTAAATGAATATTAATTGTTTAGATTACGATGTACATAATTTAGAAATCATTTGTCTACGTTTTTTAGAAAAAGTTAAAACCAAAACGTTTCTAAACCCTAAGCTAAGCCACCACGAGTGTTTTTACACATAAATATTACTTCAGACTTATGAAAGAGTCTTGAAAAAAGGAGAGAATAAAGTCATCCCTGTATTTGCCTTTCTTAATTTAATCAAATAAATAATCACAACATTGGTATAGCTGAATAAATAGGTTATAAGACATTTATTTTTCAATTGACAAAAAAAAAAAGAGTTGAATTTGCGTTTAGTGTTGTGTTTCAAAAATCAAGAAAAGCATAACTGTTTACTTTTTAGTGTGTTAAACTGTTAATAATCAATCAAGGATGATCTAGCTATTGGTTTATTATCGTAGATCATGGACCGAAGAGTCAAGATGAGATTACTCTTTAGATTTGTACCCGATTAGAGAATGTTTTGTTAGTTAACTAATGGATATGGCTGAAAATTGGTGTGAGATGTCAAATGATGAGAATGAAGAAGTGAAACGACTGTGTTTGATGATCAATCAGTCTCATAATTTGGTCCATTTTGCTTCAGTTTTGAAACACAAAGCTTGTGACCTTTGATCTCTTGGTGTGCTTTCCCTTACGTCACCTTCTCTCTGTCTCTTTTCCACTTCAATGACACAACTTGGCAATTATTTATTCCAATACCCTCTGTCCATGGCTAACTCTGTATTTTTTTTTCTCGAGAGATGGTCTACAAAAAGAAAAAAAAAACCAAGTCTTTTATTAAGTTTTCGTGAAAAACTCTTATTTATTTGGAGGTATCGTGATTTTTTTTATTTCTATTTTGATTTTGTAAAGTCAGATAGGAAATTTTATTTTTTTAATAAATATTAGGAGAAGTGAGGGTAAACTTGGGTTTTGAAATTTATAAAACCTATTTGACCAATCTACAAAAATATGGTATATTTAGACAAATTTTTAAGTAGATATCCTTTATATCCAATTTTCCCGAGTTTAAAATGTAATCAAAGTCTTTGTCAAACTCAAAACATATGTTTGGTTAGTGTATACATTTTCCATATTCTTTAGAAGTAGCGCATGCATGGTTTATCACATTAACCATTGGTTCTGTGTTTGGCGACGCGATGTATGAGCTCCATTCGGTTGGTGATGACGATCTGTCCTAACTTGTCTTAGAAGACGGATCCTCGGTATATCTTCTTGTGACCTAAAGCTAGCCCACGGGCGACATCGCAAATAAATGATATGCATAATAGTCTAAATTTGTCCGGAGCACATATTTATCATTGTTTTTGACATGGTTTTTGAAAAAAATATATTTTCCTTTCATGTAGTCTTTATAAAATAGCAACAGTTTTGAGAAATTAAATGTATTACTAAAAAATATTAAACTAATAAAAATGATTAAATTCATTGATTAGTTTATAAATTTGTAACTACAAATTTGCTATAAAAATTATCATGTAGTTAATTACTTTTACATTATATCAATACTAGGTGTGAAATTCTATACTGCATTTGTTCTACTCATTTATCTAATTCTATTTGTTTGGCATAAAATATATTTATTTTGATTGTTCTACTTCTACCTATCTTTCTTCTAAGACCACTTGTCAGAATTCAGAATGTAAGATATAGCTAACTAACAATGTCATCGTAAATCATCTTCACACCACAATCGCTACCTACTAACTTCTAGCTACTTTTGTCAAGTGTCAACTTCTAATACTATTAAGTTAATACTATGGATTTCGACACCAAATTAATAATTTATTTAAATATAAACTTTAGAAAAAAAAAAAAAAAAAAAAACAAAGTGGCGTTACCTTAACTGGTAAAGATTCTAACGAAGCTTAGAGATCGCCGGTTGGAGTGACGCTTGGGACGAAACTAATATTACATGATACGGTTTCGGGCATATGGATTACGTTCTTAGACTATTAAAAAAAAAATTAATAATAATAATTTTAAATAACTAAAACTATAAGAAAAAAATGAATTGCGTTTTTTTTCTCAATCAATTATTCTGTTTTTTTCCCACCGTTCAATGGGATTAACCAACACAAAGCCATAGTAAAACAAGAAGATGAGTAGTTGGGAGCGTGCAACAATGAAATAGTTCACCCACCTTTCTCCTATTTATTACTACTTCCTTCTCCTCACGCCTCTCCTCTATATAAGACCCACTAAATATCATCTCTTCTTTGCTCATCTCTTAATCACATTTTTCCAGATATTTTTGATAAACTGATGAATCAAGAAAAGCCCATTTCTTGTTGCTGTGTTCTTGATGCTTCCACTTATGTGGGTTTCTGGATTCTCAAGAGATTACTCACTAGAGGTTACTCTGTTCACGCAGCTATCCGTAAAAACGGTAAAAAAAATATCTATCAAATTCTTTCTTCAATCGATTTTAAAGATTTTGAGACAAAGGGTTCAAATTCACTTATGGGTACAATCAAATTTAGATTTTTCCTATTGGTTTGAGAATCTTGTGCCAAAGGGTTATGTTTTTTTTCTCTCTTTCTAATGAGGATTTTGATTTTAGAGGATAGTGTGCTTGAAGAGGAAATTAGAGACATGGAAGCTAAAGAAGAGAGATTAGAGGTTTATGATGTGGATGTGTTAGATTACCAAAGTATCCTCATTTCTCTCAACAATTGTAATGCTGTGTTCTGTTGTTTGGACAATCCTGAAGGGTATGATGTGAGTTTTTAGGATAATCTTCTATCACTCACTTCTTTTGTAATCTCTCTGTTTTGTTTATGGTTTGGGAAGATTAATAAGATTTTGTTTATGGAAATTAGGAGGAGAAGGAAGTGGATTTGGAGGTGGGAGGAGCTATTAATGTGGTGGAAGCATGTGCAAGAACAGAGAGTATAGAGAAGATTGTGTTCTCTTCTTCATTAACTGCTGCAATTTGGAGAGATAACATTGGAACTCAGAAAGATGTTGATGAGAAGTGTTGGAGTGATCTTGACTTTTGTCTCAAAAAAAAGGTATTTTAGTTCATGCATAATAATTTACATTTTCTTGAAAAGTTCAAGACATTCAGAAACATATTGGACCCACAATTTATAAATATATGATAGATTCAACAATTATTTCATGTACTTTTCATTAATCAATCTGAATTGTCTTATTTAATTGTGATATTTTCAAATTGCAAGATCCATATAATTTGTTGGAACTTTTAAAACTTTGGGGGTGGTGAATCTTTGTTGGAAAAATAAACTAAAAGTTGGGTCTTCATGAAATGTATTTGACATTCGTCATGTGATTATGTAGAATAATTTGGTCAAGATTCAATGTAAGACTGCCTTAATAAAATATTTAAGAGGTCAAACCTCAAACTAAATCCAACCTAAATCATATTTTGAAATAGTACCTAATTAATTTTGTATTTACTTCTTAATCACAAACTTGTGTGTGTGCCTCTATATGCAGATGTGGCATGCTCTTGCGAAGATGCAGTCCGAGAAGGCAGCTTGGGCATTAGCGATGGACCGTATGGTCAACATGGTTTCGGTTAACCCGGGTCTCATCGTTGGACCATCAGTGGCTCAACACAACCCTAGACCCACTGTCTTACCTCAAAGGTACATTATAAACATATTCATTCGAATGATTAATGTTATAGTTAGATGTATAATAATTAATAATCTAATTGTGGTTGCAATGTTTGTGATTGTAGGAGCTGCACAGATGTATGAGAATGGTGTGTTAGCATACGTAGACGTCGAATTTGTAGCGGATGTTCACATTCGAGCATTCGAAGATACTTCGGCTTGTGGTAGATACTTTTGCTTCAATCAAATTGTGAATACAGAAGAAGAAGCTCTCAAGCTTGTACAAACTCTATCTCCTTTAATACCTATGCCACCAAGGTACATATTTTTATTATCATTATTATAACTATATTTTTTTTGTAATTTGTACAATTTATAGTTATAATATTTGATTTAGGTATGAGAAAGAGATGCAAGGAAGTGAAGTTTATGAAGAGAGATTGAGAAACAAGAAACTAAACAAGCTGGTGGAAGCTGGATTTGCTTGTTAATTACATGAAGAGAGATGTTATAAATTAAAGGGCAAGAAATTGTTTTAATAAGAATAGTTTGTTTACTTATTGTTTTATTATTGTAATCTCAATTCAGTATTTTATATATTTATTTTTCTGTAACTTGAAATGAAAGGAAAAAATGTGTTACTCATAGAAAAGTGAGTATTTATTATGTTGTATGTCCTTATTTATGGAATATACGATGATACCAGGCAGCAACAAATAATAAGAAAATAAAAAGCATTAAAAAAGTTTTGTACTAAACTATTCATTTGCAAGCTATAGAAATAAATAATTTTTGACATGTATTTGATGTAATTGATGAGTTGTCAACTTTAAAGTATATAGCTAACTTTTGATGAATTATTTATCAATAATATTTTTTAAGAAATTAGATACAATTTGGAACGTGTAATAAATGATGAGCATCTATAATACTAGGGAAAATTGGAAATAAAGGATATCTACTTAAAACTTTGTTCATATACACTTTTTTTGTGAGATTGTCAGTTTGGACGATTTTACCCATACACCCTAATTTACATGTTTTTAAAAAAAATAATCATAAGAACAGATAGATATACAAGAGTATAGGTGATTTGAAGTGAAATTTTTAAAATTTGGTTTTAAAAAAGCTGTTTTTTTTATAGATAAAGTTTCATCTAATTTTGGTAGAACACGTTTTCTAGAGTTCTGCGAAACTCAGAGTGTGTATTCTGCATTTTTGTACATGTTCTACATATTTCAGACTAGATTTCTGTTCTGAAAATTTTAGAAATCCGAAAATCATATATCTAAAATATTTAGAACATGTATTCTACAGTTTGCTCTATGTTCTAAATTTTTCTGAATAGCCGTTCTAATAATTTCTACATCTTCTGCAATCGTTAGAAATTGTAATCTTCGTTTAGAATGTAAATTCTACGGTATTGTAGATTTCGTTTTCTGTAATTTTTAGAATGATCTAAATATAGAAAGTAAATCTTCAGAAAATGAAACAAAATATTTTATTAGATTACAATTTAAATGAATATTAATTGTTTAGATTACGATGTACATAATTTAGAAATCATTTGTCTACGTTTTTTAGAAAAAGTTAAAACCAAAACGTTTCTAAACCCTAAGCTAAGCCACCACGAGTGTTTTTACACATAAATATTACTTCAGACTTATGAAAGAGTCTTGAAAAAAGGAGAGAATAAAGTCATCCCTGTATTTGCCTTTCTTAATTTAATCAAATAAATAATCACAACATTGGTATAGCTGAATAAATAGGTTATAAGACATTTATTTTTCAATTGACAAAAAAAAAAAGAGTTGAATTTGCGTTTAGTGTTGTGTTTCAAAAATCAAGAAAAGCATAACTGTTTACTTTTTAGTGTGTTAAACTGTTAATAATCAATCAAGGATGATCTAGCTATTGGTTTATTATCGTAGATCATGGACCGAAGAGTCAAGATGAGATTACTCTTTGGATTTGTACCCGATTAGAGAATGTTTTGTTAGTTAACTAATGGATATGGCTGAAAATTGGTGTGAGATGTCAAATGATGAGAATGAAGAAGTGAAACGACTGTGTTTGATGATCAATCAGTCTCATAATTTGGTCCATTTTGCTTCAGTTTTGAAACACAAAGCTTGTGACCTTTGATCTCTTGGTGTGCTTTCCCTTACGTCACCTTCTCTCTGTCTCTTTTCCACTTCAATGACACAACTTGGCAATTATTTATTCCAATACCCTCTGTCCATGGCTAACTCTGTATTTTTTTTTCTCGAGAGATGGTCTACAAAAAGAAAAAAAAAACCAAGTCTTTTATTAAGTTTTCGTGAAAAACTCTTATTTATTTGGAGGTATCGTGATTTTTTTTATTTCTATTTTGATTTTGTAAAGTCAGATAGGAAATTTTATTTTTTTAATAAATATTAGGAGAAGTGAGGGTAAACTTGGGTTTTGAAATTTATAAAACCTATTTGACCAATCTACAAAAATATGGTATATTTAGACAAATTTTTAAGTAGATATCCTTTATATCTAATTTTCTCATAATACTATCCACACATTTTTTTTCGTAATGGGTTTATAATTTTTCCACACTTATCTTTCTCCAAGCTGTGATGTTAGACATGATAAATCACGCAAACAATTCAAAGACAGACAATGCATTTTTACTACTTTTTTTTGTTTTCGTAATTTTATTTTAACAGCAAAACAATATTCACGTCTCAGACATCATCAGAAAATAAAGCAGCATTTTCTTTACTTTAACACAGCAACATAATAAATGAAACAAGATCCAAAAGAAACTAGATAAGTAGTAGAAATTAAGGTCCGGTCTTCTCAAAAGAAAATCAAGGTTTGGTCTTCTTCTTCATAATAAAGACTAAAGACTGCAAAATATAAATAGTAATAAATTGTCAAATGTATTTAAATTTATACAAAAATTTGTAAAATATATAATAATATGAAACAAAATAAAATCCTTAAAACATTTAATATAATGAAGCGGAGAAAATAGAAATTAAGGTTTGGTCTTCTTCTTGGTCGGTCCATCATGAAGGTTCTTCCATGAGACGGTCTTTAAATTTTGTTTGATTTAGTTCAAGAGAAAAGTTGTTGCCAAAGGTGAGGATGATCTTGAATTGTTGTTGACCTTAAGTCTCACTGTCTCAAAGACACTAAGGAAGTCAATGTCTTTGGTGACCAACGATATTTGCGGGTTCTCTATGATCTCTCAATTGTTGATGTGTCTACGTCGTCATCTTAGCGATGCATACGGTCTTTGGTTAAAACAGCTCATTGTATTCATTAATCGGTTTATTTTTATTTTTAAGAATAAATTGTAGAGTCCAAGTCATATAATAATTGCATCTTTTTTTTATGTTAACATGATTATGAGTTCCATCACATTATACACATTGTAGGCATTAATCGGTTCACGCTAATCATATTTCATAAACATTTAATATTTAATCAATTATTCAGATATAATTTTATTTACTACAACATCAAAACGATAAAATTTAAAATTGCACTAAACTTTCACCAGATTTTAAAATTGAGTTAAGTTCTCTTGGTGTTTAATGAATGACGAGAACACATTGATATCATTGAAGTTCTAATGCAACCAATTATTCTAGTCGTTTGTCTTGGTTAAATGATAATGTATATACTATCATTTTATTGACAATATGCAGTGTAACAAATTTAAATTTAGATGACATGTCAATTATGCTAGTACAAATTACTACATTAATCTTACTCTACAAAAACAATATTTAGATTATCATAAGAAGAATAATATTTTTATTTGCTACATTATAATTTATTTATATCTGTGGTTGACCGGGGTAAAGTCTCCAATCCCAAGAATTATCCTACATACATAGACAACTATTATTGTAATTGAATGGAAACGCCAATGTTATGTAGAGCTTTTATGGCTTCAACACATACACATCCCAACAAGTAACGTTTGATGAAGGACTTGACAAGTTTGAAAGCCAGCAAATTAGAGCCTCGTTACACATTTTTATGCTCGATTATAGGCTTGCTAAAAAAAGAGATCTATTGTGGCCATATGCTTAAAGACTTTTGAGTTTAGTGGAATATATGCGGTATCTATTATTTATGTGGATGAGGAAGATGTATAGAAGTTTTTCCTGGTAAAATCTACTCATGAAAATAGTATTTGAGATGTATGATACCTTAAAGTGTCGATGGAAACAATGTTCGTCCAAATAGCTAAAGACGATGTGGTTCTCGCACCATGGTTCCTGATGACAAATTTGTGAATCCTAAACCACTGCTTCTCAACTTCCGTTGTCCAACTCTTAACGAGGCTAGTTCGATAAAATGCAATTAAGGGGAGTGACACGAAGAATGTGATCGGACGACGTATTTTGTAGTTTTTTTTTTTCAAACATACTTTCTAGTTCTATGGGAGTTTGATAGTTTAGATATTTTGTGGTAAACGTCATTTCTCATGTTGGAATTGGTTTTTATGTTTATGGGAAAAAATAATACTATTTTTCTTTGCTACATTAGATAAAATTAGTTCATGTATTTTATCGGCACTCAAAAAGTTTGTGTATTTTAGTAAAAATAGATAAATAATTAGTATATTTTTATAAAACTCTTTTTCTTATTTTTTTCCATGGATTGGTGTTTTAAATTTCTTCATTCTAACCCTTGAATTCACCTATCAAGTCACAAAACATTAACAACAAAACGAATTCCACACTTTTCAAGTATGAGAATGATGAAAATAAAATCTTTAGATTTTGTGCAACCAAACAATAGAATGTCTATTAACTTAAATCTTAGACTAAAACAAACCAGT